GGTCTGACTCCTGTGAGGGGAGAGAGGAAAGGAAGGGAGATTGAGTAGAAAGATTCTCATGCTACAAGGTGCCTTTGAGAAAGTCTCAGCCAGGCTGATGGCAAGCTCCAGAGAAAAGATCACCAGCTAGAGGAGTCCCACACTGGGTGGGAATGGCTTGACTATGGTACCCCTGCTGTACTTGGTCACTGGTTGGGGGCAGCTCAGTGACAGCATGTCCTCAGCATGAACACCACAGTGGATCAGAGAGCACAGTAGTTAGACACTGTCCACTCACTCTAGTCCTGACACCAGGTTCTCTCTTGAGGAGAACCTGAAGAGCACACTCCTATGACTGCCACGTGATCTCTAGTGCCCAGCAGAGCATCTTACATATGGCAGATATCTAGTAAAGGCTTGGTATGAATGAAGGTATTAATGTATTTGTATTTCAATGTCTTAGCCAAAAAGCTGCTTAGTAGTGAATTTTAATTATTGTATAATGAGTCTCATTATCTGGAGCTGAATTCAGTTAGGCACATTGTGGACCCCAAGGAAGCCTAGCGCTCTGTATTCTACCTTGGGTCCTGAAATGGACAGGGTGAGGAGGAATAGGAGGAGTTGCTCACAGCGAAACTGTCTGACCTACCTTGAGTTTCACATACATTAAAAGCAAGGACCAAGAAGGAACAAGCTGTAGGAAGACATCCCAGTCCTATGAGGGGATGTAGTCCTGGATAGTTTGTTTTCACTCCCAGCTATGTTTCACTCTGCCGTTTCATTTCTGGATATATCTAATTAAAAAAATTTTTGATTTTTTTTTTCCCCCGGTCTTTGACTTCTTTGGTCTTGCCTTTGGGGTTCCTCCCTTTCCTTCTCTCTTCTGCCCTCCCTGGCCCCCATCCACCCTTTATTTAAAGCTTCAATAAACTAGCTTCCTGATCAAGTCTGAAACTGTCTCCAGTACAGACCTACTTGGCTGGGGTCCAACCATTTTTCATGAGAAAATAAACATATGTCCACTGTTTCTGTGATTGAATGGATGTTTTTATGAAATCCATTGCAAATCAGTTTTTAGCCAAATCAAGCTCTGGTAGACTTGTTACTTATGTTGACTTTATTCTCCTTTCTTCTCCATCATAAAATGTTGGTTTGATTTCAGTTCTCATGTCTGAGGAGAAGCCAACCCTTGCCCAGCTTTATAGGCGAATCTGAGTGATCTTAGGATAATCTCATCTTCTGTTTCCAATGACTGGTTCAGGAATGCAGGGCTAAGCCAATTATCACATGACATTCCTTGGGTTGCCTGAATACATTCCTTGGGATACGTTTAGGATGGACCCATAACCCCATTCAAGCCAGTAAGACTTATGAGAAAGGTAGCTGGAGCTTTCAAGAAGTTTATTTGCTCTTAAAGGAGGAGTTACAGGAAGAAATGACCTTCCTTTACATGGATGTTGTCAGAATGTGAGGTCTGGAACAGCTGAGGACATTTTATCAGCTTGACAATAAAGACTACACACGGAAGTTGGCAGAGCCTTTGTGTTAAGTTTGCAAAACAAGTCATCTAACTTTGGGACTTCCAGTTCTGTGAGCTAATGCTTTTTCAGGATGTTTATGCCAGTTCAAATTGGATTTTCTATTACTTAAAGGTCAAAGACCTTTTCACTTATGTACAGCTTAATATTATTAATATCACAAATAGAAGGCTGTGGTCCCTTGAAGTCCTAGAAAAAATATGTATATATCCCACTGTCTCTCTCAAGCACACACACACACACATGAACACACACACACATACACACATGTACACACAAGTGTATGTCTGTCTGTCTATCTATCTATCTATCTATCTATCTATCTATCTATCTCTATCTGTCTATCATCTACCTGTCTATCTATCTAGATACATTCTAAGATTGTAAAGAGCATCAAGGAGAAGCATTACAAACTTGGGGCCTAAGGAAATGTAGAAATACCTGGAACTTAGAAGAAGAGGCATGTGTTATCTTTAGCACCAACATGTGATTGGGTAAATGATAATGAATGAATTTCCAGACTTCTATCACCATGTGTTTAATAAGTCATACAAATGGCAGAAAAAGAATTTACATTGAAAAACCATCTTTGTTCTGGTGAGGAGCTATCTTTTCCACTAGGAAGATCATCTAGTTACAGCTTTGCTTACTTCATTCTGCTTCCAAAGAAGCCTATCAATCATTTCCACCCCTGCACTGGTTGTGGCTGACAAGGAAAAAATTGAAAACGGGACAATATCTTGCAGAAAATAATTAGCAAAGATTAAGAATACCATGGTGCTGTACAGAAGCTGCTGTTGATAAGGCATAGAATAGTCATCTAGTGACAGGAAACTGGGCAGAGAGGTGATGGTGAACTCTAATATTGGGCTGATGCAAAAGCAATTGTGCAATTACTTTGATAGTTCAGCTTTGAAAATGGCATGCCTTCTTCTGTCCCTGTTGTATTGACTCATATAGAGCTGATCTTTTAAAAACACCAGTGGGGGATTGTGTGGATATAGTCATGTATACATAAAAATTTAAAGGAGAAACTTAATATTCATTTTTTGTTGTGGAAGGGATCCCTAAGAAGCAATTTCCCTATGATAACTCCTGGTTTTATATTGCCGAGGGAAATGGGCAATGGTCACTCTTTGGAAAAGGACTGTGTAAAGGAATGCTCGTTTTCTTATTCTGATTGTGCTTTATACCTTTCACAAGTTTAGAGTATCATGTCACAAAGCAATGTATGTAACCAACTTTAGGGAGTGAAATCAACTAGAAGAAATTGGGGAAGAAGACAGCGCTATGAGCAGTAATAGGGCTCAGGACAAGCCTAAGTTCCATTGCTGCTCCAATATCCTCCAATACTAGATTTTTCATCTCTATTTGGCAAAAGAATTGGGAGCTGCAGGTTGTTGCTATGGATATCAATCATTATATATATTATATATATATATGATCTAAAGTACCTGAAAATGTTTTATAACATTATATATAAAACTAGGAAATTTTAATTATTGCTTGAACATGCAATTACTGGGTACATTTTGAAGAATGACTACATCTAGAGGGTTGCTAGGTGCCAGAGATACAAAACACTGTAAGACAAATTTCTACCTTCTATTGTCTAATGATCTGGTTAGGAGTATTACAAAATAGCATTTGTAAAACAATGAGTAAGCAAGGGAAGGAAAATAATAGAGCTTGGGGAAACAGATTAAAACAATATAATAAATATGATTTGATTGTAGTAGTTTTAAAAATTCCACAGTTAGTTTCTATGTTCCATTTGTTATACTATAAAATGTGTTTATAATAAAGGAATTTTGTTGTAGATAATCCACAAATACAGTTGTCATCAATCTCTTCTCTATCTGTATGTATGTTCTGCTTCTTACCTTAAGAGGTGGGACCTAGTTTCTCCCTTTGAATCTGGGCTTGTTTTTCTTTTTACCTGACAAGGTCTTGCTCCAAGTTCAAACTCCTGGGGTCGAATGATCCTCCTGCCTCAGCCTCCAGAGCAGCTAGGACTACAGGTGTGTGTCACCATGCTTGGCTATTTTGTTTAAATTTATTTTTTGTAGGGACAGGGTCTTCCTATGTTGCCCAGGCTTGTCTGGAACTCCTGGACTCAAGCAATCCTCCCACCTTGGCCTCCTAGGGTTGGGATTAAAGGTATGAGCCACTGTTCCAGGCCTGTGCTGGTTTTAGTGACTTTGTTGGGCCATCAGGTGAGAAGGAATTAATACTTGGATTTCTAAGTCCAAGGTCATAAGCATCCTTGCAGCTTCTGCCCAACTGAGGCCATTCGACTGACAGAACCATGAGAGACAGTCGTATATTTTAAGTTACTAAGTTATGAGACATTTATTATGTGTTAATTGTTAGCCACAACAGAAGCTATACTGAAAACAGGATACTGCTGTAACAGAAACCTAAGTCGTATGGGCATTAGCTTTGGAACCAGGTGGCTGGAAGAAGCTTGGAGAGCCTTGAGGAGCCCATAAGTGAAGGTTTCAAGACAGCAAAGAACTTGTTATTAGAAAATTGAGAAGAAAGGACTGCATTATGGTGTAGCAGAAAGTGTGGCAACACTGTCCTCTAAAGTAACATGGAAAATAGAAACATACCTAATGAACTGGTGAATTTTGTTAAGGTGATTTTCAGACAGACTATTGAAGGTATTACTGGTTGCTTTCAGGCACATATGATAAGGTAAAGCTAGAGAGAAATGGACTAAAAAAAGGAACTGTTCGGTTTTCAAGTAGAATTTAGGGAAAGTATAAATGAACCATGGCTTCATGGGTTTTAAAATACAACTGTTTCTATTCCCAGCCTTTTCACAGAGTAAAAGGTTCTTAAAAGAAGAAATGATTCGAAAGCAAAGATTAACTTGTGGGCATAGTTGCAAGATCTTTTACTTAGACTTCAGAAAGTTTTAAGGGCATGCCTCGGAGACCCTCTTCAATTAGACACATCATAAAGGGCATTTACCCTCAACAACCTAATTCTCAACCCAGTTCAGAGAGGGTAAAGTTTCAAAGAGATTTGTGGGTGTAACTTTTGTCTGTTGAAATAAATTAGAGGATTCATAGGAGATCCACACACTTTGTAAGAGAACCATATTGTTGAAGTTCTATTGGATTGAACTTAAAAGGACAATGACAATTCAAAATGAAAAGAGCTCTCAGGACTCCAAACTTTTCTTGGATAAGAAGAAAGCTATAAAACCTATTCAACTGAAAACACAAGGTATTTGTTTAAAAAAAGGAAGGATGACAGAGTAAAAGGTCAACAATCACAAAGTCCCAGGCAACAGGACTGCATCATCATCAAAGAAATGGTGATATATTCCTAGCCGGATTTCAGAATTGCTATGAAGTAGTGACTTCTATGTGCTTTCAACACCCCTCCCACCACTGAATTTGAATGAATATGTTTATTGTATTTATCTTATCACCATTAGATAGATACATAGGAAATAATTTGTCTCTTTAGTTCACAGATTTTGAGAGGAACTGTATTCAAGTTGCTGAAACCAAGGAGCTACACTCATGAGTCTCACCTAAACTCAAATCTGATTTAGATGACATCATCCTCGACTTTGAGTTGATGAAGTCTTGGAGGTCTTGGGAGTAAAGTAAGTGTGATTTACATATTTGAATATGAATTGTAATGGCCAGAGCATGACTGTGGTAGATAACATCTAGAGATGGCCACCATTATTTTTTTTTTCTCCTCTATCCGCACATAGTACTTCTCCTGTACTCTTGAAACTGGGATGAAATTAGCAACTTTGTTAACCAATATAATACCACAGAAGTGACTTTTGAGACTTGCAAGGTTATATCCTAAGAAGTCTTGTATCTTCTTTCTGGATCACTTGGAATGCTTGCCATGGGAACCAAGCCACTGTTTTATGAGAAGTGCAAGTCAAATGGAGAAACCATGTGTTGGCAAGCTAGTCTGCATCCTCAGGTGAGCTGCCAGCCAATGGCCAGCCTTAATTTCCAGTTAAGTGAATGGCTGGATGTCTAACTCAGGTAAGACTTCTGATTATTGCAGCCTCAGGTTACCCCTGACTGCAACTGCACAAGTGGTCCAGATGAGATCAATCTCACAACTATGGGAGACAATAATACTATTTTGTGTTAATGACTAAGTATTAGAATAGTTTGTTACACAAAACAGATATTAAGATTAAGATATTTATGTCTCCAGATAATAGGCCCAGGAGCTTCCTTATGTCTATTCCCCTTTAAAGTCCTTTTTTAAAAAAAACTCACAGCTGGAATAATTATGCCAGAGCAAGGCAAGTTGGGTAGCGGCATTTGGCTTCTGATGATTCTTTCCTCAGTGGATGTAGGATGCTGTCATCTTAGGAACTTGAAAAAGAAAGCCTACTGTTTCTTGAAATTTAATTAGTCATGCTAATTATAATACAAGTTTTGCTGGAATAATAAAAGGGCTGCATGTCTGAAGTAAGCAAAAAAAAAAAAAAAATCCATATATGCACAGTAGTTTTAGTGATATGCCCCAGTTAGTTGTAACCATTAAATAACTGCTAGGAAAAATACATGGCCTTGGAAGGTGTTTCCTTGGCGGTAGTGGAGGGGCAGGAACAGATCTGTATAAACAAATTTTTGTTATAAGCTAGAGGCAATTTTAGAGTCTGATGGATAAGAATGACATTAGATAAAGCATATTGTATTATACTGGGAATAGCTCATTAACAAGCAACTAACTTTGTGTGTGTTTACACTCGTATTTGTCATATTGTTCACAGCTGTATCCTCAGCAACTAAAATAGTAACTGGCACTTTAGAGAGACACAGTAATTATATGATGAATTAATAAATTCCATTTGTTTTATTTAATGAAGTCTTTTGATTTAATATTAGACTGTGCTTAGATCAATGGGTCTAAAATAACTCAAATTTTCTTTGAAAATAAATACATTTCTTCTGATGTGAATGTAGTCCTCTTAATGGTCTATATGTGAATTATTGAGTTCAATTTTAGAAATTGACTCTTGTTTTTCTTCAATATGCTTCTGTACCTGTTCTTTACCTCTTTCAGTCCCGAGACTAATGATGAATTTTTGTTTGTTCAGGTAACAGAAACACATTTTCTTAATATTAATAACAGATTTACAGTATGTATTATGTGTCAGCCACTGTACTTAGCTCAACTAAGCTCCGTGATAACTTCTGATGTAGGGACTATTATTATCCCACTTGTAGAGATGAGGAAAAAAACTATAGGGGAATGAGTCTTTGCTTGAGATTACAGTGATTTTAAGAGGTGGCGCCAAAATAAGAGTCCAGAATAAGTGGCAAAACCCAAGGGGCACTTATTTCCTATTGCCTAATTTTTAAAGTTGCTAGGCTTATCTATGAATCTTTGTATTGGATAACTATTTTAGGGGTTAGGGGAGTGATAATTATTTATGGTTCTGACTGCTCATTTTGTGTTTGGAACAAATTAATAAAAAGATACAAGAGTCACAGAGGTAGAGATTTATAAATGTTAGCTCTATAATTGGTAAAACTAAGTCATAGAATGCTCCTTGGATTCATGAAGAAGATGGAGCCTTTCATTGTTACCTCCTTAATTCTAGACATAGAGTTAACCCAGTAGAAGGAGTTGAGTTCTGCAGAGAAGACAAGGAGAAGCAGCACCTTAAATTTAGTACAAAAACTCCAATATTGTAATCACAGAAACAAAATACTCTAGCAGATGAGCCGTAACCCGTGAGTTCTTACATTCTGGTGTAAAGTCCAGAACCAAATTCACTAGTTCCAGGAATAGGTAGATTTCACAATAGGAGGGAAAAAGCTGCTGAGCTAGACATGTTCCTATTTGTCTGCCAGGCTCACCCATCAGGTAAGTTGGCCCTCTTCCCTTGGGTAGGAGAGAGCAAGGTATTATGTATGTGAACAGAAGATTTTTGTCTGTTACGTTTTCAGAGGATGAAAACTCACATTTTAGGGAACCAAGACTGAATTCCATGATTTGCATGGATGTTTGGAAGGTGTCTGCAACTTAATCTGTATTCGTTTCTGAGATGTTGGGCAACTCCTTCTTGGAAGATGTGGTAATGGTCTCTTTGAAGAGAAAATAATCATCTGAGTTTTGGCCAAAATTGTTGATCAGATTACCTATGAAAATGGGTCTCACCCAACTATAAGAATGTTATGACGTAGAAACTCTAAATGTATGAGTAATTAACTATAGAACACTCCATTCCCATGTGAAAATCTTTAATCTTTTAAGATATTGAAATTTTGTGCATGTGTCATGATTTTCTGTATATGGTCAATGAGTTTTGCCTCAGCCATAAGTGGTCTGTCTGAATTCTTCTCAATTATTTGTGGATTTTCTTCCTGATGTACCAAGCCTAGTTTGTTTGTTTTTTCCTAAGAGAGGGGCAGATGATTCAACAATGTATTTCTCAGTGTTGATATTGTGGTTATGAGCTATTTCATAATCTTGAGTAAAATCTTGTCAATTTCTTGCTATGCCTTGTGGGAACGTATTTTTACTTTTAAGTCTCTTTGGCAAAGTGGAGCTTCCTTTGTGTTTCCTCACCAAATGTATTACCCATTGTTTTCTGGTTAATTCTTTTTCAGAGTGTTTACTCCTTCTTACCTCAATGTCATTTCTTTTCAGTCTTGGCTTTGGGTAAACCTAGGACAAGAATTGGAAATCCAAAGCCAATTTCAATAAAAACTATAATATCTATCAAAATCTATCTAAAATCATGTGTGTATTTCTCTTCTTTGTTGAAAAAGGGCTTATAATCATATAGGTAAATATACGTGGTTTTGATTTCAGCACTGATTACCAAAGATTTGTCTTCCATTCTTCTGGGCCAGGCCCACACACAATTGTAGTTAGAAGTAAAACTATTTGCTATACCTGGAATGCCTTTCGTTTCCATCTCTGAATGTCTAAAATTTCTTCTTTGAAGACCATCTCAGGTGACCCTACTGTGGGGAAAATGCTTGAATTATCTTTGTAATCCCAGCTCAGCCACTTAAAGATTGTGTAAGTTTAGTGTCAGCATATTACTTAAGTTCTTTTAGATTTAGTTTCCTCATATGTAAGCTGGAGATAATAATACCTACCTCATAGAACATAAATGAAAATCAAGTTATATAATATATGAACAACACTTGATACTGTATATGAACACTTAATACATGTAAATCATTATTATTAGCAAAATGATTATTAGGTTCTCATGCTAATCCACAATTTTGATTGGCAGATATCCATTAGTTTATAGTTAATGTTATCCATAATCTTTTCTTCATATTCAAATAGGAAGAGGAAGAGATGACTTCTCAACCTAGTTAATCCTGGATGTGTATTTCTCTTTTTATTGACTGTAAAATGTTCATTTATGTACATACAATTTCCCTTATTTGTGAACATCTAGAAGGCAGAATGGTACTTCATTTCTTTCTGTATGTTTAGCACCAAGGACAGTACCTGGTACATAGAAGATACATATTAAAGACAAATAAAACAACTCTTAATGGATTTCATTTTAACAAAATTCTTGGGTAATTATAAAGTCTCTAGTAAACCAAATAATTGTATATTAACTTATTTACTTTTATTACTGTGTTTATTTTCTCCAACTGCTTCATCATACAAAGTAAACACCTGAATGTAAGCTGCATGAGGGCAAGAGCTGTGTCTTGTATACTGCTCTCAAGAACATTTGAGTGAAGTGCCTGGCACATGGCAGACACTCAGTAAGTTACAGTTAATACTCAATGTATGAACTGTGCTATACTTAGAATTGACCAAGAAGAATAAGTCTTACACAGACTCAGTCTCTGAGAACTTGACAATCTAAGTTTGCATATCTCTGTTGATATGTTTTCAGGTTACTCAGTAGGAAATCAAGTTATTTACACATTCTTAAGTCTCTCAAGGTTTAATCTTCCATGCATAAAATATCTGGGTGATTGATTGTGTTTCTTACTTTGCTTCTAAGTATGTTAGCGTCGTGTAGGCACAGCCTAAGTCAGACCAAAATGAACTTACTGATTGACTCAACAGATGTTTATGGATCTCAGATATTATATGGAGATGGTGTCAAACAACAGGATGTGCTGTGGAATTTGATGTGGAGGCTGAAGGAGAGGAATCTAGGTGGACTCACGGATTTTTTGGCTTGAGTAACTTGGTGAGTAACTGGTAGTGCCACTTAAGAAGGATGGAAGAATGAAGGAAGAACAGTTTTGTAGGGGAAATTATGTATTTCAGCTTAATCTTAATCATTTTGAGATGCTATTAAATACAGAAATATTTAGGATCCACTCTCATCATCCTCATCCATCCCTTGCACTTTTGCACTCCTAATTTGCTGGACCTTCATTCTAAGCAGTGCTCAGCACTTAATGCTATAGCTCTCTATACAGGATGCTATCTAAAATATAAGAATTCTGGCTGGGTGCAGTGGCTCATGCCTGTAATCCCAGCACTTTGGGAGGCTGAGGTGCACAGATCACCTGAGGTCAGAAGTTTGAGACCAGCCTGGCCAATATGGTGAAACCCTGTCTCTACTAAAAATACAAAAATTAGCAGGGTGTAGTGGTGCATGCCTTCAATTCCAGCTACTTTGGAGGCTGAGACAGGAGAATGGTGTGAACCTGAGAGGTGGAGGTTGCAGTGAGCTGAGATGACACCACTGCACTCCAGCCTGGGTGACAGAGTGAGACTGTCTCGAAAAAAAAAAAAAAAATTCTGGAACACAGGCAGCACTCTGGTGCACACTAAGATGTGGCTGTCTGATTAACAGATGAATGCATTACATTTCTTAGAAGCCTTGCTTTCTATCAGATAATACTATGTTAACATAAAGAAAATAAGCCACCATAGTGAATGTCCAGGTAACAGTATACTGATAGCATTATTATTGGATAGTAGGCCCTCACACACTATTTTCTGGTATCAATTTGTTTGTTCATTTGTTTGTTTTTTGGTATAAAATCCATAGAACACACTCTAAATGAATTCTTAAGTTTGCTTTGTGGAGGTAGAATAAAAGTAGAAACAGCCACATCATTCATTTTTTAAAAAATTCAGTCTATCACTTCTTTATGTGGAAGTTTGTGTTTTATCTGGTATGTTGATGCTCACTTTTTTACATCACTGATATAGTTCGTATTGAAAACATAATTATGGAAGACTTAAGTTTCTTAT